TCCAAGTAGGATACTCAATTTCTCCACAATAAAAAAAAAAAAACACATAAGCCTGCACAGTTCATTGTTTTAGTTTTATAAAAATTGGCAAAATAATATATATCTTTTTATCTATTGCTGCTGTTACACTTGAATTTTCCATCCGTGGGACAATAAAGGCTGTTTCTATTATGTTCTATTCTATTCTTTTTTTTTTCTTTACAAGAATCCAGTCTTTTGTGATGACTTGAGACCTAAAGATAATGGATGGATGGATGGATGGATGGATGGATGGATGGATGGATGGATGGATGGATGGATGGATATAATTCAGGCTTTTGTTTTGTCTCAAAATGTAAAAATATAAATAAATGTTAAGAATCATTGGATGTTTTTAGTTTTGCAACTTCTCACCTATTGGCCAGAAAAGCCCCTCTAACAAAACTTAAAGTGGCATGACATGTGGTACATGTGGTGGAATGAAATTGTGTACACAGGGTCCCAGTTACATCCAACAAAAGTATAAATTGTAAATACCCTGATGCATGCCCAATAATCCAGGTAGAAAAATCTAAAAAAAAGTTAAGTCTGGTCCTCTGAATGAAGAAATCTTTCAGATGAAAGACGAAACGTTTCTACATTTTTTTTTTGTTTTGTTTTTCTGAACATCCAGAGGACCAGACTTAACTTTTTTTTTATATATAAATTGTAAAAGAAAAACAGTTTTAAGATCTAAGATATGAACGAAATACCCTAAACTAAGAATACGCTTAACACTTAATAGCTCAAAAACAGTAATGCACCAAACAGCAGCACGAACATGAGTCTGTGTGAGCAGACAAGTACGAATGCGTAGAATCGAATAGAATTGTAATCTGTGCTGCAAATTAAATGATCAGATTAAATGGGCATGATGGCATAAATCCTGCTTTTGACATAGTTTTAGTATTTTTGACGTCACTCCTCTAAAAAAAAAAAAAATTGGAAGACTATCATAATATGGTGGCGAGTTGGCAATAGGCTATGGGTAAATCTGTCAATCTTATAAAGAAATGTCAAACTCACTTCTTCTTGTTACTTTTTTATTTATTTATTTAAACCTCCACTTTTATTTTATCTTCCATTCACCATTTATCTTGTACGTTTTCTTTTGATATTGATTTTTTTTTTTCTCCTATTGTCTGCTTGAATATCTCTCTCTACATCACATTCGCTGGTCCAGTGGAGAGGAAGATCGGTCAAAATGGTCTATTCACATCATATCAAATCTGGCTTATTTTCTTTCGATATCGCATCTCTTCAGCTATGGTCTTCTTTCTTATAACAACAGAGTCTCCAGTGGCCTGAAAACAGATCAGTCAATCAGTCTACTAGATCCCCTAACCTTCCAATCTCACTATTTTCTCCCTGATTTTATCTCTGTGTCTGCTTGCTGTCTGTTGAATGCCTGTGTGACAAAGTTTCTGCTTAGTGTTCTGTCTGTCTCTGTGCCGTTTACCCTGTCTCTCTGGTCCAGTTGATAAGAAACAGTCAAACCTGGCGGTAAATGAACAAAATGTTAACAGAGGCCGAAACACCTGCAGGAATGATGGGACACAGGGACAGGAGGCAGGTTGTGTCTAAATGAGTTTAAACTGTTCCTTATAAAGAAGAGGGGAAAAAATAAAAAATAAATCTGCACTGTAAGAAACAAACTCCCGAGGTTGCAAACAAATTTGGAGAAAATTACAGCCTGTGGGAGTGTTGAGATGTTAAATGAAATTGTGATTGCTGTCCTTTCTTTTATCAAAACTTGTGCTGAGCAAACTTTTTTTTAATATGAAGGCAGCTTCTTAAAAAAGATTTCCAGGTGGCCTAACAACTTTTTGAAAGCAAATACATTCAACTTAAAAGTGAATAATTTGAAAGAGTACATTCTACAGAAAATCCCACCATGTGAAGATAAAAAAAGTGGCATTAAGTCTAGTATTTTAAAGAAAATATTTGGTACATCCCTTCCATTTGTAGAATGTTTCCCGTAATTTATATGCAAAAGCAAGCTGTAATTATGCAGCGCAGTAGTCAAGTTAAAAGACAACTTCTCTGGAGGACAACCATGTAAACAACCACTCATTTATAATTTAACACAGACACACAGTTCAGAGCACATGAGGAAGCTTGAAGGTATTGCATGATACCAAAGGCTAATGTTTTTTGTAAGTTTGCTTTAGATCTTTAGGCCAAAAAAAAAGGCGAGACTGCTGTACGCTCCGGCTACAGTATGAAATTGCATCACGCAGATTCTGTCACGTAAAAAAACCTGTAGCGCAACCTGCTGTGCTGATGAAAATCCTCTAAGGAAAAATTAATGAGCAATTTTCCGATAATATAAAGCCATTATCCTTAGCCAGCATAACACTAATAGTTCATGTTTTATACTGTATATGAGCTTTGTTCCCTTTATAAATAGGATTTTAACTAAGCTTCTGGCATTGTGTATGCAAAAAGGTGAAACTGGTGGAAAACAAAATTGAAACAGCTTGAAAAATGGTTGGAATTTTATTGTTTTATATTAACAAAATGTCATCATGATGATATATGAAATCAATGTATTTGCAAAACCAAAGACAACACATGACAATTAAACTGCAATGTATAAGAGCAGTGTATACGTGGACATTCACATTTCTGGAATGTAACTAATTTGGGTGTTTTTGTAGTGTTGACACTATTTTATCCATCCTACTACATTTCAGCTATATTTAAAAATACAATAGATCATTTGATCCTTTTTGTACTTATACCTTCAAGTATCTTTGAAGATGTTATGCAAGGTAATATTTCATTTGCTAATGGATTATCAAAATACACATTTCCTTATACACATATCATTAGTACTGTATATAGTCTATATGATTACATTCTTTAGTTTGTAAAACTGAGTTTGTTGCAGCACCTCAGACTGAAGAAGTCTTTTGGATAAATGATGAAACATTTCAACAAAGAAGAATCCATCCAGAGGACCTGACTCAATCAACCTTGTCACAATTCTTTAGTTTACTTTGCATTTACTTTAAAAAAAAATTATATTACGGGTTTTTTTTACGTGTTTTTTTTTTTTCAGGTTCAGGTTAGGTTTATTTGTCATATGCAAAATCAGCACAAGGTCAACAATGCAATGACATGCTTAGGACGAGAAGAACCATCTCGACTCGCCCAAAAAAAACAAACAAAAAAACAACAAGAAATATCAAAGCGTGCAGCAAAAATACTAAAAACATACTACAAAAATACTACTAACATAATAAAAAAACATATAAAAAAATACTACTAAGATACTAAAAAAAACAAAGTGCCAAAGTTGAAAAAGAAATACATCTACAGTGTGATTCAGTTAGCAGTGAATTTCTTTCAACAAGTTTGATTCAAACAGTTCAACCAGTTGATCACATCTTAACATTGGAAATAAACTAATTTTGCATTCGCTTATCCTGCACACTCTAGTAAAATATACAGTAAATGCAAAAATACTTTTCAATTATACAAATCAGGTTATTGCTCTTTCAGAGAAATGTTATTTATAATTGTGCAGCTTGGCATGTTTCTTACTCTGCTAATTTGCATAATAAACTGAAAGATTATGTATGCCGATTTATAGTCCTGAAGCTAATTTTTCATACAGATAAAGCATTTGTATCAGAAGGAATCGTTTAACATGGAATTTGCTTCTTTACTTTTAAACAGTGGAGTATTTATCATCTTTTATATATTTTTTAACTTAACATTGTTTAGTTATTTCACTGTTCATAAGATGGACACTATCAAACCATGCATTATGCATAAGAGGATTTGGGGCAAGTAGGTAGTTTTTTGTTGTGAAAGCACAAGTGGAATCTCTGACAGCAGCATATTTTAAGGCCACTTGACATGATAGATGAGTCAGTCCACCTGGTAGGATATTACCCTTTTTTGCCAGTGTCACCTTTCATCAGCTCTCCCTCAACTTTGAGCTTGAATACTATAAATACAAAGAGTGGCCAGCTTTTAAAATTTGCTACATTTTAACACCTTCCTGACAGAACATTTTTGTTGTACCCTCCTCTACAGACTGCAAAGTTTGCATTGGAGCTTGCTTTGTGACAGGGGCACATTCATCATATAATAAAGTGATGCAAGCGGTTACAACACACCAAAATGAAACCCAGCGACTGGGAGTCTTGTATAGTGAAGAGAAATGGAAGCTATTTCAGGGTTGCTTCTTTGGCTTCATTGCCAATGATATCCTGTTAGGCACAAATGTTTTAACTCCTGATGGTGCAAGTTTATCGTGATGTTTACAGAGAACACACAAAAGAATTAGAAGTATCACTTTACAACACATGATAAATACCAATTTCTATATTGTCATTTGAACTGTGTGTTTTCTGAACATAACATTATGTGCTAGGATGTACTTGGAAAAATAACGACAAGAAATTGCATTTAACACTTGTTTTATTATTTTTTTTTATGCACAAAAAGTCTGAATACTGTATAATCGCAGTGTGTTTAATTACAATGTTTTACTGCCACCTATTGTTGAGACACAAGACAGTTGTTATTGACATAATCTTAAAATTGTTTACTGTAATGAACAATGATTCTGTCAACTCGAGTACTTTAATCTACCGTTATCATAAACGGTATTTCTTTAGATTTTTTTTTTTATTTGATTTATTTTTTATTTTTTATCAGAACTCACAATTCAGGAAGCACAAATAAAAAGGTTGAAGATTTCCAAGGTATTACAGTAAAATGCATTCACAATATTGTTCAAGCAAATGAAAAGTATCACATCAGTCAGTAGATTCAGTAAAGAATGTGAAAAGTACATATCGACCAGGAAGAAAGTGGTCTCATGCAGGGTATTCTGCATCCAATTTGAACAAAAACCTACATAATTTTTCTTGAAGTGCACAATGCCTAAAACACTCCCGGAGAATATCAGTTCAACAGGAATTTAAATGGTTGTTACATGTATTTACAGAATGACGACTTGAGGCTGCTCACTAATTTTTGCATTTGAGCCAAAGCAATAACCAACTTCCCTGAAAAGTTTTAGAGTTCAGGGTGCTCAAAGTTTAAAAGATTATTTACTTCAGACCAAGAAGAATGCTGTGCCCCGTCCATTTCTGTAGCAACTTGGTTGCCATTGGTCAGCCTGTGGTCTTGTCCACCTATCGAAGCATTGCAATCAGGGCAATTTCGACTCTCCATAGCCCCTCCACATTCAGTAATAAGATAGACATGGCCATTAGGACATTTGTGCCAGTGTCCTGGGGGCATTTTCATTGCTGAGACGATCATCTTTCGTTCCTCCTCACTGATCCCCAAGCCTGGGAGTGGAAACTTTTTGTTCAGTATCTTCATAGCGTCTTTCACTCTCACTTGATCGTGTTCTGTGAACTGGCCAGGTGTTTCCAAAACCTGTCTGATTTCTTGCACCTCGATTTGCATTTTCTTGGTTTGCCCCGTGCAGTCTGCCTTTTGGCAACGAACATTGAGTTCAGCTAGGAGGTTGAGTCTTTGTAGCTCACTCTGCAAATCAAAGACTTGTTGGTCTGTGAACCTTTGGTTTTTGCTATTGATCCAACTGATGAACTTTGTGGCATTTTGTCGAAAGCTGTAGCTATCGGTGGATAACATGTTTTTTGTTGCGACTTCTAAAAGTTTTGCCACTCTTGTCAGGAAATCAATCTTGTTTTCAAGGACCCAGAGGTCAATGGTTGTGAGGTATTCGTTTTTTAGTTTGTCTTGGATTTCCATGTACTCCATTCCCACATGTATTTCACAAATTGGAAGATTTGTTTTCCACTGCTTTTGAAGGGCGCACCTTGTTTTTTTAATATCAGGTTGCCTTTCGTTCATCTTCTTCTTTACCATCTCTATCTCAGCCAGACTGCGGTTAATGTGTGATCCATATCGTAGATTCTTACGTATTGGAGTTTTACACTTGGGACATTCCTTTAGTTTTATTGCCACCTGCTCTCCTTGTTTGTTGTCATCCAAACTCATGTAGTGGTCCATGGCTGTGGATTCAATAATGTGTCGACATTCATCTAGCTGAATAAAATGAGCATCAGATTCATCCTCAGTGCCAAAGAAAATTTCTTTCACCTCATCAGCATTGCAAACGCGACATTTGTTTGGACATTTATCTCCGCAAAGACCAATGCATGGGTGGCCACACTCCAGGATCTTTTTGCAAGGTTTAGTGCATGGTGGGCGATCACATGGCTCATGGCAAAGTTTACTGCAGCTCTGATGAGGGCACTGCCAGGAACATGGCTCGATACAAGGAGCGCATGGTTGCCCACATGGCTTCATACATTTACTGTGGACACAAAAGTTCTCACATGTCCTCTGACAGGGGGGACAATCACGAGTACAAGGTTCCAAACACTTGTGAGAACAAATTAGAAGACGTTCACATCGGTGAGAACAGGGGCTGTGGAAGCAACCCTGGTAACACTTTCCACAGGTACCAGGACAGGTGTGGCCACATTTTAACTGGTGCTTACACTTAGTTTTACATTCAGGTTGCTCTGTCTTTGTTTTGTAATAGCAAGCTCCTTTCTGGCTGTGTCCACACTTAAGTTTTAAGGTGACCTTCACATTGCACTCTCTAGTGCATAATGCTCCACAGGTTGAGTCACATGGATGTCCACACTCGAGCATCTTCTGGCATTGCTCCAGGCATGCAAATGTGGCTGGGTCCTGGTGGCAAGGAACCATTTGTTTGTGCTGACACGCAGGTATGACTTTCTCAACCTTCACTTCACATTTCTTTGGACAACCTTTATAGCACAAACGTGGGCACTTGTGTCCTTGATCGCATACAATCTTCTCACACTTCTTGATACACTTAAACTCTTTGTGTTCTGGGTCGTACGGATGACAAACTCTTGTGCAAACATGCCCACAATCCAGACGAAACTGGCAAGGCTGGGTGCAGCCCCCCTCGGGTGCCTGTTTAAAATCCTCAGCGCAGGAAACCTCAACCTGTCGAGTTGGATGATTCTGACAGCACAGGGTCAGAGATTTCCCAATCTGCTCTTTCTCTCTCAAGGTGTCAAAGATGTTGCTCCACAGTTTAACTTCACTCAGGATCTTACTGTTGCCAATACAGTACAGGCCTTTCTTGGCACGTGACAATGCTACACAGACACGATTAGGGATGCTCAAAAAGCCAACTTTACCGTTTGAGTTACTACGTACAAGAGACAACAAAACTATGTCATTCTCTTCCCCCTGATATTTGTCCACCACATGTACTTTGACCCCTGCAAACTCTTTGGCAGGCATTAGCTGGCGTAGACAGAAGAGCTGGCCGGTGTAGGTTGTGAGTATAGTAATTTGTTCGGGTTTGTATTCTTGGTGGAGAAGGTAACGGCAAAGTGCCACTACAAACATTGCCTCATGCCTGTTTTGATGGCTCTTTCCATCTTTGATCTGTTCTTCAAGGTGTTTGTGCTCCACAAAGAATAAATTTGAGTTGAGACCCTGTAAGGTAAAAAAAAAAAAACAACAACAAAAAAAACATTTGATGTTATGTTTTAATGTTAATTGTGTTTGTTTGACTTAATATTCATTAAAAGAGAGAAAACACAAAAGTACCTTGATGCTTTCATACTCAAACACAGAGGGATGGTTCTCCAACTCTGAGTAGATGTGTGGGGTCAAAAGATGGGCAATGTCAGGCCTCATGCGATGCTGAAGTACAAATTCACAATACAGATAAACATGGCAATCTCCAACATTCAGTACTGAATGTAGACGATAACATGGACCCAAATGGAAACTCAGTATCTCAAAGTCAACTTCTGCATACTTTGTCATTGATTAAAAGAATAAATGAAAAAACAAACCTGGTAGTTGAGTCTAACATAAGGCAGTCCCATGTTCACTAGCCTCTCAAACATGGATAATTCCAAGTTGAAGTTCTTAGCAAGATCATATACGGTAGCACTTGGCTTCAACTGAAAGTGAAAAAGAAATATCACTTTTTTTTTTTTTTGTCTTAACACTTTTCTTTTTACAAGTACACACACACACACACACAAAATGCAACATGTGTATACACAATTTTCTTCGTTTTTATCTGTTAATTTGCAATTTTGCTTGAACGTTTAGTCTAAACTGTGTGCATTTATGCAAACCCAAATTTGCAAGAAGACAGAGTGTGATCATGCAAGTATTGTATGTGGGAGGGGTGTGGAGGCAAGACAAAATTTTAGTACAAGTGTGAAGCAATGTGTTCTCCTCAATCCAACACCAAACCTGCAATTAATTGAATAGCACAACAATGCCAAAGCTTATTTTACTTGGATAGTGTAATCTATCCGCTTCTTTTACATGCATGAATTAAACTTTGGTTCTTTAAAGACAGGACTCACAACACCTACTGGATACGCTAAGAAAATAATATGCAGTGAAGCCTATGACAAAAAGAATGACCCCAATATAAGCCATTCAAACAAAAAACTTTTTTTTTATTTATTTCAAACAAATAATTCTGACAGTTGATTATAAATAATTTGTTCACACAGTAGTTACTTACATGAAATGTGTCTGACATTAAGTTGCCTATATGCTAAACTGAATATTCAAGAAGCGCAAATGACAAGCAATCCAATGTTTTTTTTCAAAAGCGCTTGATTTCAAAGCCTGATTTTGATCCTTTTATTTGCTTTTCAAAGATCTATTTTCTTACTAAATTCTCTGTCAGAATGTGAAGAATTAATGTTTGCCAAATTTCATACATGAACAAATCCATGAATAATCAGGGTAAAATATGCAAATATTAGTTTACAGCAGGCAGAAGTTATACAGCGAGATGATAGCAAGACAGAATATTTAGACGTGATAGAACTCTGTGGAGTTGTGATCACATGCCACAGATTGCTAGACAGGCTGCCTGCCCATATGTGCTTGGCAGGCCCTGACAAGTTGTTGTATAATAGTCTACTGATGTCCAGAATATCACTCCTCACTAATCTCCTCTGTCTCCTATAATGACTAGCATGCTCTTTCCTTTTGTTTTGAACAGTTATTTGATGTTGTGCCATTCTCTAAAAGGAACACAGAAACAAATCTGGGGATGAGGGAACTTGAAACACGCCATTATTGTCAATTTCACCTGAAACTGGGGGGACGTCATTTTGATTATGGTGACTTGTGACACGTGTATAAAATAGTGCAGAGTTTAATAAGCTGCAGGACAAGCGAGCATTCAAGAAAATCCCTGTTTGTACAGATGAGCCCTTACCTGTTGGTGGTCTCCAATCAGGATGAGGTGTTGACATGCTTCACTCAGTGTGGTAACGATGTGGGCTTCAAGAACCTCTGCAGCCTCCTCTACAATCACCACACGCGGACGTAGTTCTTGCAGAGCTTTGCGGTATTTGGCCGCTCCTGTTGTTGTCATGCCAATCACCTGGAGAGAATATGTTTTATTAATATGCTATAACCTTTATGCCCTCAGCTTAAACTAATTTGAGGAACACAATACCTAGCAATCTCATCCTTATTAATCTCAAATAGTAAATTTTATTAAAACGAAAACTAACGTGGATGTTGGGACGTTGCGTGTTCAGATTTCCAATAGATCAGTTGTACCTGATCTCCAATGGAAATTTCCATTAAAATTGAAAACATAAATATAAATATACAGTGCATGTGAATGCATTTGAACTTTTTTATAATCTTTTGCCAACATTCACCCACAAATATTCAGTGTTTTAGCTAAAACTCCTTATTTCATCTACTTTTGTTGCCGATAATATTTATATTTCATGTCTGGGCTAAAATCAGCAAAACCTAACTGCTGGTTAGTTTAGCTTACTCACAGGAAATGAATAGATGCAGAATGATGGACAGCATGTTAGCCTGGCTACGTTCTAAAATGAGAAAACGTTATTTTTCTATTTTGTTGGGCACAGACGTAGTGTCTGCCTGTCCTGCTAAACACAAACACTAAAGATCAAATACAAATAACAATTTAACAGCCCACTTAATTTGTACCGTTGCTTTCTTGAGGAGATGAAGGTTCTCTTCCCGTTTGACATCAGCCAATCTGTCCACTGCATTTTGATAGGCCTGTTCTGAAACCAGGGCGTTTGTACGAAGCTCTATCCTGTAGCGTGTCACCCACAACCTGCTCACACAAAAAGAAATTAAGAAGAAAACATCGTGAAATCATGGGCAATAAGATGTACGCCCTTTAAATCTCATTATCTGGACCCGTTTTCTGTGTATTAGCTATTCATACAACACATATGGTCTCAGTTTGAACTAAAGCAAATTACTTTATAAAAGTTGTTCATCTACATTTCTATTTGATTTTATAAAATAGCTATAAGAAATTTATGTTAAGATGTGAAATGAAATAAAAGGTGACATTACGAGACAAAAATAAAAATAAAATAAAATTCATGCACTTTACAGTATATACTCAAATGAAATGTAAACTGGTTCAAAAGAAAGTGTTGCCCAGAATGCCCACAGAGATTTTTAAAAAATGCCAGACTATTAAAAAAAAAAAAAGAGACTCAAAGCTAACAGAGTGAGCAAAAGTTAAAGTTGGATAAGGTCTACCCAAATTTTTTTTTTAATTAGTGGGCAGTTACTGACAAACTCACCTAGTGGATAATATAAAATATAAATATCTAGAGTCCACTGGGTAAACATGGAATTAGACTTACTGTAAGTTTCTCCCTCAAAAAAAAATATTAGGAAAGAAATGTCACTCAGTTTAAATGTTTAATTTGGCTATTTGAAATGTTATGAGCATGTCAGGCCAAATCAAAAATAAATTCAGTGTTTACTACCCCACCGTGGATTTGATGGTGAAAATGTTTAATGTTTTGTTGAGACTCCTTAAGAGATTTCCCCTTTTTCATTTAATTAGTCGGGTTCACGATTTGACAAAATCTTAATACTTTAGATGTCTTCAGGTCTGTAGCTTTGCTTTGATTTTCATCTATATAATTTGTGTACATTAACAAATTCCCTTTCCCAAAGGTTTGACACAACTTATTGTAGCTTACCGGCAATTAACAAAAGCACTGATGTGTACTGTATAAGATTTTTCAGAATAGTAACAGGGATATTGATGAGGACACACTCTGTTGTAGACCAAATATATTAAAGAAAACTCAGGAAGACGTCACTGCATTCATTTGAACTGTAGTGGCTTCATATACAGTAGTCCCTCACTTATTGTAGGGATTACGTTCCAGACACCCCTGCAATAGGTGAAAATCTGCAAAGTAGGTACGTTATATTTATTTTAGTATTTATATACATTTTAAAAGCCTTACAAACCCTTCCAACACTCTTGCAATGTTCTTAACAATGTTCTAAACGCTCTAAAAGAGCATAACGAAAGAGAGCAGACAGACTGAGGCTATGGTTACTGAGCCAATCAGTGCCTGGGCTGGCCATCGGGAGCCCCGAGACATTTCCCAGTGCTCCTGATGGCCAGCAGCGATGGGGAAATTACAGACCCCACCCCCCACCTCCTCCTTTCACTTTCTGAGGCTGTCTGTCACAGCAGAGCCGAGACACACAACAGGTTGCATGCCTGCCTGTTATGTGTGTCTGCTCTGCCGTGATAGACAGCCTCAGAAAGAGGAAGGAGGGAGCCTCTCGGCGACCACTGAGCGGGCCAGGCCACCGGGAAATGTCCCGGTGCTCCTGATAGCCAGTCCGCCCCTTAGCACAATGCTCTGGTTGGTCACCTTCCATCAATAAGCCAATCGTGTGTCGTGTACGATTTTACATTGAAAACCTGCGGAACAGTGAGTCCGCGAAAGTTGAACCACGAAGTATCGAGGGACTTACTGTATGGTATAAATATGGCTACGTTAAGAAAAAGAGGTTTTCCTTTTGCTAGTAAACTAAGAACAAAAATATAAAAATGAATTAATAATGTTAGGATTTTTTTTTTAAGTCACAATAAGATCATGCACTACAGACAACGTTGTACTGCACCGTGATTAAACAATTACAAAAAGACACAGCATGTGCCTCTGAAAGAAAATTAGAAACTTGTTAGTTTTAATAATCATTTTGACCCCACAGTCTTGTTTTCACAGTAGCAGAAGTCTGGAGCTGCATCTTGGCTCTGTGGTGATAAGATCCTCTGGGATACATTTTGCTGACTGGTTGACTTAATTATACACACTGGGAATATACTGCAGCTACCAGGCCAAGGTTGGTTAGGGAATAAAAATAAACCACAGCAAAATAATGTAAGAATGTTAAATGAAAAATGGCCACAAAAAAAAAAAGTGAACAGGTTGTAGAAGGGAACAGTTATAATAATGGTAGATTATGAGCAGAACCTCCAACCACACATGTAAACTTACCAGTACAGTCTCCATCTGTCCTCCAGAGGGATTTTCCACACATCAAAAATGGTGGACTCCTCTTCTTCAGTCATAGCCGTGCTCGTCGCAAATGCTCTCTTTATTTTACTCTTTAGCTTTTTTTTCTGCTCTCGTTGAAACTGTGCAGATAGAACAGGACAAACTTTAATCTTCAGGCCTTCAGTTCATTAACGTAAGGGATTAACTATTATATTAGCTGGCTATTCTGTAATTAAAAAAAAGATTGTGCTGCCATACTATCACACAGTACGGCAATAAGTAAAGTTTAAAGTGATGTCAATACACAGCTGCCGCTCGTTTCATTCAGACAAAAACGCTTGAAATATTTGGACCGACAGTGGTAGTGAAGTACATCATGCTGAAAAAGTGGTTTTCTTTAGAAACCGCAGTTAACTCCTGTGTTCAATTAATGAAAAAACTTTTAATTTAAGTTTACTGATTGCATTTAGCACTCAAAACATTGTTAGTGCTAGACTGTTAAATGGTCTCTAGAGTGGTTTTTAACTGCTGGCATTGGTATAGAAGTATGGGGGCTCACATGAGAATGTGTGTGTGCAAAACAAATGACAGAGTTTACAATTTAGCTAATTGCGTTAGACCTTACCACTGGGTGACGTTTGGTAGCAGTAACATGCCAATTAAAAAATGCATCAACAAGAAAACAACAGTACTGTGAAGCAGGCACGGATTTAAATAGCATTACTATTATTAAAATATTAGATTAATGTAGCATTTGAAAAGTTAACATCTTAATATTGTCACCTCCCATCCTTCTTCACTGTTCTCAGCTTGTATGTCAACATTGTCCAGGTTCATAGCCAGCATCAGTTCTTCCACTTCTCTGACAGTGTCCTCCTGATTTCCTTTCTTTCTGTCATCTTTACCAACTCTGGGACCAATTGTCCATTCGTCGTCGATCATGCGCTCAGCCTGAATCAGCTCTGCTTCCTCTGCAATTTCAATGAGGTCTTCGTCTATCTCCATTGGTTCCTCTGCCACAGAAAACAGACCAAGGTAAGAATCATCATGAAGATTGTCGCTTTATACCAGGGCTATTCAACACAGATGCTCAGTGGGCCACAGTTTCTGACATCCAGCGATTAGTCATTACGTAAATAAACCAAGAATTACAATGATCTGTTAAAATTGTTTGTTTTATTGCATTGAATCATAAATGCAATAAACAGAACCCAAAACCCAAATTTGTTTCCAAAATCCAAACCCAGAAAAAGAAAAGAAAACAAAAAAAAAATAAATAAAGTCATTGGTGGGCCGGATTGAAGTCGCCTGTGGGCCGGAAAATGGCCCGCAGGCCGCCAGTTGAATAGCCCTGCTTTATACAAACGAATGCACAGTTTTACTGACATTTTTTTGCTATTTTATGGGTGGCAAAAAAAAAAACCCAACTATCACATGAACCAATTGAGTACAGACAAAGCAGTTTTCATTCAATATACAAGTACAGTGCATTTATTTATGAACTGTACAGCCCATGCTTTATGGTGTTTCACTACAGAAATGACCAAGTTGTACTTGGTGCTGGTTTATTTGCTGTAACAGAACATAATCCTGCTAAAGCTATTAAAAGCTTAGATTTTTATTACCACCTCAATGTTCTGGAACTTGTAAGGATTCAATTTAGCAGATCATAAAATTAAATATTAAATAAATTTCCATTGTTTCACCGAGCTTCAACCAGCAGTAAAATGCCTACCTTCATTTGAAGTTGCATTCTCTGTCTCCCTCTGCTGGAACTCAGTCATTCCCAAACCCAACCACTCCATCATCAGACTGGACTTCTGATTCCAGAAGTAAAATCCCTCACCGTTCTACAAATGAATACAAATTAATCTGTTAACACATTTTTTTTTAATCCAAGCCTGTCCAATGTGTATTTTTGCATCACTCACTGGGGGCGAATTGAGACTTTCCCAGTGTATGTGTGACATGAAACTCTTTAAGAAGTGTTCCCGTATTACACCTTTCAGAGAACACTCCAGCTTCAAACTGTGGTCTTGGATTGCCCTTTCCTCTTCACACAGCTCCCCATAGATCTTTAAAACAGAAAGAGGAACATAAAACAATAATTTGTGAAATGTTCTGCGAAACTCAATAGACAGCAGACTTAAACTGGTTATACACTGATCATTATACGCGTTATAAATGAGATAAACAAATTTGAAATAAATTTAAAATGAGAAAAACGTATGTAAAATAAATTTAAATGTCAAATTAAGGTGTACCATTTACAGTGCAACTTAAAGCCAAGCTCACCTGACCATATGCAGTGCGGAGGTGAGACGGCAGTGTCCGTCTGAAGCTTTGTGAGTGGGTCAGCTCTCGAAGATTGAATTGTTTCAGGATCTCACTGTTGCTGCGACCTCCCACTCTCACAATGCCATTCTTCAGAAACTTATAAATACCTATGACCATACAACGATAATATGTAATATATAAAATATGCATTGAAAAACCTAAAGCTTGTTTGAAATGCTGTGCGTGTTCTGGGGCTCAGACCACTAGATAACTCCCATTGATCATACATATCATTTATATTTGAAATCGACACACTTGTTTTCTTAACAAGGGACTGGACTGGTCCATTTACCCATTATATAAAAAATACCTTCCAGAAACTGATCCAGGGCATGGTTGGTGTAACACACAACTAGCATTGGAGCTGTGGCACCTTTATCATCCAAATCATCCATAAAGGGCACACCAAGCAGATCATTCCACAGCTTCTTATTGGTCAACAGAGCCTGAGCAATCTTTAGGCCAACATAAGTTTTTCCTGAAGGAAAACGGAAAAAGAAAAAAATAATAAATACACTATATATGCATACATTTTATGATTTGTATAGCGTGTTTTTTTTTTATTCTGCAAGTACAGTATATACACTCTAAGGCTTCAGTTCTCAGTTGTCTTTTGAACCATAATTGTGTCATCTAGACTATTGATTTTTGCAGCCTGGTGGCACAGTTGGTAGAGCTGCAGCCTCTCAGCGAGCAGGTCGCCCCGGCACAAATCCTGTCTGGGGGGGCCTTTCTGGGTGGAGTTTGAATGTTCTCTCTGTGCATGCGTGAGTTTTCTCCGGGTGCTCTGGTTTCCTCCCACAGACCAAAAACATGCATGTTAGGCTGACTGGTAACTAACTGTCCCTAGGTGTGAGTGAGAGAGTGAATGGTTGTTTATCTCGTTTGTCTCTATGTGTCCCTGTGATGGACTGGAGACATGTCCAGAGTGTACTCCGCCTCTTGCACAGTGATGGCTGGACATGGGCACCAGTGACCCCCACAACCCGAAAAGGAAGAAGCATGTGAAGATAATGGATGGATGGATGGATGGATGGTATTTACTGATGAGAAAAAAAATGTTTTCAAAGCTCGTGAGTCTCATACCAGTTCCAGGAGGGCCCTGTATTATTGCCAGCTCCTTGGTGAGAGCTAGTTGAAAGGCTCCCATCTGAGACTCATCCATGCCCAGCTTCTCCATTTCAGGCCAGGCCTCTGGCTTCAGGCTGTGAAAAGGCTTCATTCTGCTTTTGTAGTCAGGGTGAGCAACAGATGACAGATCATAAAGATCTTTTCTCCTAAGGTATGCTGGTGGTCTCACATCTGAGGAACACTCCACAATGTACCTGAAAGCATAAATATCCTTCTTAATATATATATATATATATATATATATATATTTCAATCTTCCTTAATTCAGATGTTACATAAAATTCCACTCTAAGTTTTTTTTTTCTACAAGCATTCTATTAAATATAGATAGATTAGATAGATAGATAGATTAGATAGATTAGATAGATTAGATAGATTAGATAGATAGATAGATAGATAGATAGATAGATAGATAGATAGATAGATAGAGAGATAGATAGATAGATAGATAGATAGATAGATAGATAGATAGATAGATAGATAGATAGATAGATAGATAGATAGATAGATAGATAGATAGATAGATAGACAGACAGACAGACAGACAGACAGACAGACAGACAGACAGACAGA